GTGATACCTTCCTGATTTAGTTTTTGATGAGCAGTACAGACGAATTGATCCGTAATCGACAAGGTGTTCAAAAAAGTTTTAAAAAAACACGTCTATATTCGCAGGGATTTTCGACTGGATCTGGTAAGAAATACTGAGTGGTAAACTGTCTTCTAGATGTACTTTCAGTGGTAAAACGGTGCTTGTTTAACTTTTTGGTAAATTTGTTACTAAAATTAAATTTTTTAGCATGGTCAGCCAATTGCCAAAAACTTGTATGAATTTTCTGACGAGTTGTTTCATTAAAATGTTCGCAGCAGTTTAATTTACAAGTTGCTTTACAAATCGGTCCCATTCCTTTTTTGTTATGTACCTTTTCATTCCTGTAAATATATTGTTGACCAGTATTCACTACAATTTTTCTTTTAACATCTTTGCACCTTTTCCTTTCCTCCTTTTCATTTTTTGCTTGGGTTAACTTTAAAAGTAGATTTTCTTTTTTTAACTGTAGATGACGAGTCACCTTCCAACAAGGTTATAAGTGGAGACTCACATTCAGTTCAGTTCGATTCAGTTATAAGTGACGCGACACTAGATATGGCCACATTAGGAGAAACTATAATAGTGTCCATGTATCAATTAAGTTAATAAAACAGAAATTGATTAGTAAAAAATATAGTTCTGTTGATATGTTATAACATAAATTAATAAAACATACAAATTTATTTTAAGAAAAGTAATATTCTATAATAGATATATCGAATATAAAAATAATAAAAAAATATAATCCGAATGAAATCATCGAAAGTGGTACTTTCGATAGGCTCATTGACTAATGTACCCGCGTATAATAATGAATGTACCAGATTCGATTACACAAGGAAATTAAACATCAACGAATAATATCGAAACTGTCACTTTCGATACTCCAAAAAAAATGTTAATCGACGTACAAAATCGAATTTGGGACTTTCGATAGTATACTTCGGGTGAATGACATTTACTTTAAAATACATTGTTTTTGAGGTGAACTTAAATATTGTTAAGGAAATCAGATTAAAAAACAAGGAAAAAATAAACATCATGCACTCGGAATTAATAAATTTGTTAATATACTTATCAGTTTTCCGTTAGAACCACATTACTTAAGAATTGCGTCGGAACGCGTGGGCGCGCGGAGCGCCGCGTATAGCAACGAAAGCGGTAGTTTCGTCCTGCACGCACGCTTCTTGTATCCGCGTATAGTACCGAAATTAAACATTCGATTTTTTACGCTGATTGATTTGTTAAGTATCGATATTATACTCATTGAAAACATGGTTTCATATGTATTTTATAGCTTTTTCTCTTTTTTGTGTGAAAACATACATAAAAAGAAATATCTTAGTGTCATAAAAAAAAACGCAAATTTTCAGTTTCGATACTGTACGTAGGGACAGTCGATTTTATCTATACTAATAATAAATCTACAATGGTTTTTACGGATGTTCCGTTATAACTACTGAACCGTGCTTCCGATTGACTTGAAACTTGTAGAACTTGTATCCATGTAGAAAATACATGTACTTAATGGATAGGCTTATATTTATATGGGTGTTGGACTCCCTACATGAGTTGCGGGGGCGTTAATGATGAGAATCTTTGTGGGGGTGAGAAATAATAATGTTCATTTTAAACGCCCAGCGAAGCGGACGGGTACAGCTAGTTATGTATATTTCTAGTTCTATGGTATTTTCAGATCTTTCATTAGAATCAATGAATCCAAAGCACAGCTTTCTAGCAAGTTAATCTTGGATTTTCTACTTTCCTTTCTTTTTGGGAACCACGTGCTCGTTGGAAATATATCTTTCACTCAAATTGATTCCTGTCAACTGACTCTACCTTATACTGCAAGCCCACAAGGACATGTACCACTACCCTGCCTATTTCTGCCGTGCAGCAGTCGTGTGTTCCGGTTTGTAGATTTGGAACTGCAGTTATGTTGACTGGAATTCACATTATGCCGTCCAAAGTAAGTAATTACATGGGTAAGGTCTAGGTCGTCCGTGAGTTCAACTACCTGTGCAAAGAAAAATGAGCACGATTCAATAATAATGTTCTCAATCATCATCAACTAGATTGTTAAGCTTCGTACTTAGCCGTTTTAAGCACATATCGGCTCACTGAATATTATGTGTTAATTAGTTTGCTACTTTAATTAGGGACAAGGCATTTAATATTTACGCATTCATTCAATGTTCAACGTACTTTTTTTTATAGCTTAGATGGGTTGACAAGATTACGGCCCATCTGATGTTAAGTTATCGAAGCTATGGGCTTCGGTAAGATACTGTTATTTAATATGATTTGATAGAACTTCCGATTTCAAGTTGCCTGTGATTTTCGTACAAATTGAAAGATTAAAAATGTTTGATCAGGTATATAAGTACTTATTGCCTAGATGGATGGACGAGCTCACAGCCCACCTGGTGTTAAGTGGTTACTGGAGCCCATATACATCTACGACGTAGATATATCCGCCTTGAGATATGAGTCCTAAGCTCTCAGTACAGTATAACGGCTGCACCACCCTTCAAACCGAAACGCATTACTGCTTCACGGCAGAAATAGGCAGGGTACTGGTACCTAACCGTGCAGACTCCCAAGACATACTACCACCAGTAGTACTTCATTTGTACGATTGACGAATGATTTCAGTGATATGACATTTAATTACTCTGCACTACCTTTGATAGAGGATGCCTTTCATTTTAAGTCCGTCAATTTAAATAATAAATGAAGTGTAATCCAGAAAAAAAATTAATTTTATCAGAACGAACAAAAGAAAACCAAAAATGATAATTATTACTTCTATAAAATAAAAAATCAAGTTACATTTCATATATTTTTTTTATTGTCACATGAAAATCAAGGCATACCTACATGCTTTAGCCAAAGGGAAAATAATCGTAAATCGTTTGTCTCTCAAAGTTTTATGTTAAAAACATTTAGGCAAATTATTCAAGACATCGTCCCATAAAAAGTTTTAAGTTCTATCCCGTAAAAGCGGCTACATAATTAAAGACTATGACTTCGTTAAATGAAAGGATATGGAGTGGAAGGTTTGCGATAAAGCGTATAAAAGTTGATTGTGGTTTTCATTTGTTTTGAAACAAAATTTTAGAAAACCATGTCATTTTTTTTAATATATAATGAAGTGTAATTAGATCAACGTGATTGTCGTCCAGTAATCTATCTTCTATATATAAAAATGAATTGCTGTTCTTTAGTCTCGCTAAAACTCGAGAACGGTTGGACCGATTTGGATAATTTTGGTCTTGAATTATTTGTGAAAGTCCAGGGAAGGTTTAAAAGGTAAACAAATATGAAAATGCTCGGAATTAAATAAAAATAACAATTTTGTTTTTCCTTTGATGTGTCCCCCGTCGGCGTCGGACGGATTCTTTTGGTTTGTTTTAAGTTTATTTTATACAAAAGTTTAGGTCTTTTATTTATCGATTTAGGCACTACGAAGTCTGCCGGGTCAGTTAGTAAAATATATTTATTTGATTGTTATGGAATAAAAATTAAAGGAAAATAGCTTTGATAATTGCTTCTGACACTGGACGGCATTATTTGGTGAAGATAAACACGTCTGTATTAAACGAAGCTCAACTGTTTACTTAGATTCCTCAATACCTAATTTTGCCATATACGCTGTTGTAATTAACAAATAAACAGCAGTGAGCGCTGGTTAATTACTACAATATCATTTAAGTCATAGAGTAAATACCATCGCATCGTCCACCACCGGAGTAGAGTTCACCCAGAATACTACCCAGAATCTAGAGGCGTTTCCCGAGCGCTATGACACGTCTTTCTTCAAGCGAGGCTTGTGCAGAGTACTTAGTGGTAGGCAGCGGCTTGGCTTTGCCCCTGGAATTGGTAACGTCCATGAATGACGGTAACCATTCACCGTCAGGTGGGCCGTATGCTCGTCTGCCTAGTAGGGCATTAAAAAATACGTTAAAGTAAAAAGTGTATCGTTGAGTAACCGGGTGTACTCGTATTGGGCGTTTCCACTATGATGATGCAAAAATCCCGCAGGCATGTACCAATGTTTCTAATGAAATACATACTTAAAAAATATTCATGATTGACTTCCACGGTGAAGGAATAACATCGTGTAATAAAAATCAAACGCGCAAAATTATAATTTGCGTAATTACTGGTGGTAGGAGGTCTTGTGAGTCCGCACGGATAGGTTATTTCCTGCATATTTCTGCCGTGAAACACTAATGCGTTTCGGTTTGAAGGGCTCGGCAGCCGTTTTACTGTAAGCACTGAGACCTTAGAACTCATGTCTCAAGGTGGGTGGCGGCATTTACGTGCAAGCAATTAATAAAAAACATATGTGCAATTCATACGTGGTAGAAGTGAAACCTTCAAAAATTTTGGCTTCAAAATAATGAGACGAATGTAAAATTTCGGGAAGAGGATTATTGTAGGTTTTAGTAATGATCATAGTGATGCAAAGTTTCATAATTATTTTAAATTTTATTCGTATATATATATTACATAGATTTGTGGAATGTTTACCGACAAGGGGAAGATCTTCCACCGAGCGGGTGATATTCCTCGATACACCGACGGTCCGAATGTTGTTATTCGGAACTTGTATATGTGCAAGCTTATCTTGAAAATGTCGTAAGCGAGATAAGCGAGATTAAGGCATCTGTCAAATATCTTGTGTTGTGTGATGGCTACCGCCACAGATTTATTCAGAATGAATTAAGTACGAATATTAGGTACGAAGCAGAGCACAAAGAATCCAAGAAAGATCCATGAATATAAGAAACACTGTATAATGCTTCCTATCTCATTTTCTCCCACTTCAAATCTTATGAATTCATGTGTCTGTCTCTTTTTACTGTCGCTTTTTCGTTTCATCAACTTTCGAATCACAACGATCCTAAAGAAATTTTCACTTAAAAAAAAAAACTTCATTATTAAAAAGTACATTTTAATGGTATCATTCGCAGTTGGTGTGCGAGTTAGCGCTTCTGCTCTCCGCAAGTGGGATCGGAATGTACTACCGCGCGCTGACCGAGAGGGCGCACCGGAATACCTTCGCCGGAACCAGGACTTGTCTTGAACAGCGTGTGAAGTTGGAGTGTGAGAGAGAGCAGCAGGAACGACTGCTTCTCTCCGTCATACCAGCGTATATTGCTGCTGAGGTAAGAATTTCAGTTAACGATTTACAGAGAAGAGGGGGAAATTTGGCTGCTGCGGTACGAATTGCAGCTAACGATTTACAGAGAAGAGGGGGAAATTTGGCTACTGCGGTACGAATTTCAGTTAACGATTTACAGAGAAGAGGGGGAAATTTGGCTACTGCGGTACGAATTTCAGTTAACGATTTATAGAGAAGTGGGGAAAATTTGGCTGCTGAGGTAAGAATTTCAATGAACGATGTACATACAGAGCAGAGGGGGAAGTTTGGAGATGAGCTGATAGGACATCTCTACATTATTGTTAAACGTAAGGTAAAAGTCCATGGAACATTATCCTTGCTTATGAAACATATGATAAAAATCAAAATACAAATATTTTTAACTTATTCAGTACCTACTCATGAAATTATATTTACCCCGGATGCGTACCCCGCCTACGGGCGAAGGACCGTTGAGGCGATCCGCCCGGTCCTCTCGGACTGGGTGAATCGCGACCGAGGACTTCTCACCTTCCGAGCGACGGAGGTACTCACGGGGCATGATTGTTTCGGTCGCTACCTGCACCTCGTCGCCCGGAGGGAGCCGACGCCGAAGTTCCACCACTGTAGTGGCTGCAACGAGGACACGGCGTAGCACACACTCACGTACTGCCCCGGGCGTCCTGGTTGCAAAAATAGGACCGGGCTTGTCGCTTCCGACCGTCGTAGCTACGCTGTCGTTGCCGAACATACTGTGGAAGAGCAGCCCGATCGGCGGTGCGTTCCGACCCGGTAGGCTGGTTCTGACCCAGCGGGGTATCACGGAACACCAAAGGCATCGACTGGGCGGCCTGCTAGGGCCGTCGTATCACGGAGACCGGTATCGTGGGTCTTCGACTATGGCCTCGACAAACCATCGGTCGGGCGTCCTCGGGGTAGCACCATGTGATTGTAGTGTTGACCATGGGAACCCCCTTACTCTGACCGGGTTCTGACCCCGGACGGAGATCGGACGTTGGGTATAAGAGTGCGGGGGAGTCATTTAGTGCGGTATAGTCTTAAAACGTCCTGGGCCCGCGGTCTGCTTCCAACATCTGCAGAGTCAAGTCCCACATACCCCGCGCGCCCCTTAGGCGCGAAGACCTCGTAGGAGGTTCGGCCCCAGGCCAGAAAAAAAAAAGTGAAGATGAACGTGTTTTTAATTTTAATCTTCCAAATGTATTATTATTATTTTTATTTAAAAACATTTTATTAAATTTGCTTTAGTAGACAAATGTTCCGGTCCTTGACTTTTGGGAAACTGGTTTGATCAAAACGATTAAAATTATTTATGTAAAAAATTTCAATAATAAATGAGCGATACTAAAACTATATTATGAATTAAATCAAACAGAACCTGCTTGAATTTATATGATTGATTTTGTGGGGAGTTTTCAAAAAAGAACTCAAATAAATGCCAATGATGTTGACAAAATATTTTCTCGTAAAAATATGTACGGCGATGTATATTTCTTTTTTTTAGTCGTGCACATATGTTTATCGATACTCCGCATATTTTGGCCAGTCACTATCTTTTTTTTTATTGCTTAGATGGTAAGAAGGCTTAGATGGCTTAGAAAAAAGGTAGTTCCATCAATGCTTAATAGGTGAAGCGATTTATTCATTGTTATACATACAGTTAGTGAGTTTTATAGTCGAGCCAAATCGTGTTTCACTTGTAAGAAATACAATTTATATACAGATTTATCTAGATACCAGCGATTTAATTTAATATATATACTTAATATCTTCTAATAATCTAATATAAAATCTAAATCCTATAAATGCTAATTATAGGTTATTAGCGAAAAAACTGCCTCTATAATTTTAATGTTTAAATATATATATTTTTTTAATTTTAATGGTTTTAATATATTTATAATAGTGTACAAAAAGCATACTCTACTTAAACCTATTCTTATACGATTGAAGTCTTCGTTAATCCTATACGGTTTTCTCATTGATTGGGGCCCAAAGCAAACAAAGATCCCTTTCGTAAAGTATCGAATGTTACCACTATCGAGAGTCGAAAACTCCCGACCGAGTCATTATATCGATAATCGATAGATTTGCGTTTCCGCACAATTGAGCACGAATGAAATGCGACCCTCGATCGGTATTTAACCACGGACGCCTTCAAGAGAACCCCTTTTGCCTAGCTGAAGCGTCAATTCAACAAGAAAAATGGTTTCATTGGTCATGTTCTTTGATATTAATAAAAGCTTTCGAGGCACTCTTAACAGTTTATAGAGCAATAAACATCCTAGTGAAATATAATGGGAGGAAAATTCATTATGGATTCCGTAAGCGTCCCACATAGATCGTTAGTTTAAAAACTATTCATTTTTTATATAACTCACGTCAAGAGTTGATAAAATTATTTTTAAAATATACGCGATTATAATTTGGTAGTGATGTATAGATAACTTACGTCGAATATGTATAAACAAATCATGAATATTTTAAGAAAAGAAATCCAAATGAATTCATATTATGCATTTTAAATAAACCGATTGATACTGTGCGTCACTCTAATTACAAGTATTTAAAATAATCTCTAAATCATCATTATCATCATTAAATCTTGCGTTTCTAGATAAATAATCCACAATCAGTCGAAAATTTAACCGTATTCAATTTGTTCTATGCGCGGCTGATAGCAACATCAGTAGCTGTGTCATGCATATGAAGCCTTTGTCAGCTTCAGCAATATTTTAAAGGGAACATAAAATTCCCAATCCGAAATTTTAAAAAATCCCAATGTAAAATAGGATTATATACTGAAGTACAGCACTAAAGTAATTTAACATTAAAAAGACCAGCTAATAATCAACCCAGAAGCTAAAGCAAGCTAGGTTCCTCTTTTCCGCACACTGGGACTAAACATTAGTGCGTTGCCCGTTCAGCGTCCTCGCCGAACCCGTCGCTTGCGACGAAGAGCTCGACGAGTAAATTAGCCCATAGACACAGCCCACTGAGTTTCTAGCCGGATCTTCTCAGTGGGTCGCGTTTTCGATCCGGTGGTAGATTCTGCGAAGTACTGCTCTTGCTCTTGCTGCTAGGGCCAGTGTTAGCAACACTACGATTTGAGCCCTGTGAGCTCACCTACACGTCAAGGACAAGTTGAAATAGCCTCTCAAGGCTATCAGCATAAGTAGGAAAAAAAATGGTGTGTTGGATTGAAGGGTCAATGAAAACTGTCAACGCAGACCTAAAACACCGCTAAAGTGGAAGAACCAGTTTTAAGAGACTATAACCAGTTTACATGGTCACCTACATTGAAACTGTATGACAGATCTAGTTTTTAATGATAAGTGTAGCGTCACGTATTTTTGTTAGATCTTCAATTATCACTATTACACGTTGAAATAAACCGAATTTTAAAGTAATGCTGAGTTTGATGTGTAAAAATGAATATTTGTAAATTTGTTCGTGCTAAATGGCTTCGCGTGTCGTTTTTTTTTTACTCAATTGGTCATATTTTAACGGTTTCTATCACTTCAGGAGCATTTCGTGTATCGAGATAAAAATGCTTAAGTTATTTCAATACACTTTACATGATATTTACAATCACTGGAAATTACCGGTCCGCGCGAAGTTGGAATGGCCCCTTAGGCTACCAACTATTAGGTAGGGAAAACTATATAGTTTTTTCTCACATCTACAGGACTTAATATCAAGGACGGGGTTTCCAACTTGAGGTATCTTAGTCTTAGTCTCGACCAGGACGGTTGCCGGAACTTATCAAACGTTCACATTTCAAAAATGTCTAATATCAAAACTAACTCATATCACATATTATTTTATTTTTATGTGGGTACACTATAATGTTACAGTACACGTAGCCATAACACGAAACGCTACGGACGCTCGTGGCTACGTTGCTCGACAGTGACACGTCCTGGAAGGCGATGCTCGACTTTTACGAGTTCGCCATCTCGCAGAAGGAGGCGGCGGAACGAGAGAGGGAGAGCTCTTCTCTCTCTACAACGATCCGTTGCTGTCGAGTATGGTACCGTGAGAGACATTACGAGCGTACGTCCCGACCCCTGTAGGCGGCGGCCTTCCTCCAGTGAAGGTCACGAGGCGACTTGACCGGGTCAAGGTCGCACGGCACGCTACCAGTCGTCGTGGCCTAAAGGATAAGACGTCCGGTACATTCGTATCTAGCGATGCAACGGTGTTCGGTGGTCGCAGGCGGGATTTTTCTAATGAAATACGAACTTAACAAATGTACACGATTTACTTCCACTGTGGAGGACTAACATTGTGTAATAAAAATCAAACCCGCAAAATTATAATTTGCGTAATTACTAGTGGTAGGACCTCTTGTGAGTCCGCACGGGTAGGTACCACCACCCCGCCTATTTATGCCGTGACGCAGTAATGCGTTTCGGTTTGAAGGGTGGGGCAGCCGTTGTAACTATACTGAGACCATAGAACTTATATCACAAGGTGGTTGGCGCATTTACGTTGTAGATGTCTATGGGCTCCAGTAACCACTTAACATCAGGTGGGCTGTGAGCTCGTCGACCTATCTAAGCAATAAAAAAAAAGGGCCGCCCAGGAGTGACAAAAGAGCGACCGGTTGGCGCAGTCCCGCGCTCCGACCCGGCAGGATGGTTCCAACCCAGCGGAGTATCCCGGGACACAAGTGGCGCTGCCGGAACGACCAGACGGGAAGCCGACGTTGACGGTTACCGCCTTGATCTCAGGGGGACTTATCAAGGATTTAATTAATTAATTTAGGTTTAAATTATTTCTAATCTTTTGCCTAACATCATTATCATATCTTAAAATGTACTAACCATCAGAACTAAGGTCAAGTTTTGTATTCGGACTGTTAACTGAAAACGTACTAATGTCTCACGACCACATCGAGTTTAATTTCGAGATATCTTCATTCAAATTCATCGAAGTGTTAAATGGTAGCGTTTGATAGAATTAGATCATTAGAAAAAGGATATTTACATGTGTTATTAAGGT